CCCGGCTGCTCCTCCCCTCCCTTCTGATTGGGAGTCAGGGTTCTAGACTCCCGGCGGCTCAGCAGGGCTCTGCGCCTGGGGAGGGCCCGAGGAGAGGGAGGTGGCCCCACTCCACCTCTAGTCTAACCCCGCTCCGAGCCCGGCAGAGGGAGACTGGGGCGGCCCTGGTGTACTGAGAAACTCCCTATACCCTCTCTTAAAGTTGATGAACCTCTCCTCCCCACCACCATCCCTCTAGCCCGCTCCCTTTCCCACTGTTTTCGTTCCCAAGGAAGCGCAGACTTCGCGCTCCGGCCGCGTCAGCTGGATCAATAACCAAAGTGCGCGAGGAAGGCGACCCCGGCGAGACCAAGCAGAGAACAGGAGGTTGGCCTTGCTCGGGCGCTTGGCGGGCGGGGTAGGGGTGGCGGGCTGGAGGCGGGGGTGCTGGTCTGGGGTGCAGTGCGCCACCCCCGCAGATTCATCCACACCCACACATATGAACACAGACCATAGGCTTCTTACAGTCCTCTTGGGAAAGCAAGGCCGAGGGTTAGTAAATGAGCCTGAGAGAGTGAGGCCAGGAGACTGATGGATTCACCTGCCCCTGGGGGGCGGGGGGCGGAGGGGGGAGAAAACAGTCGCGTCCAGGAACCGAGAGAATCGAGAGTGAGGCCGAGATCATGTAAGCAGCAAACGCCAGACTCCCCTGAAGCTCTGAGGCCGACACACAGGGGTCCGCACCCTGAGACAGGGACAGAAAGTGGGCATTTCCCCGCAGAGCTCTCTCTTCGCTGGGTCCCTCCTCCCTGTTCCGCCTTCTCTGGGAAGCAGAGACGCAAAGTGCAGAGGTGAGGGCGGCTGGAAGTGGGGCGGGGTCAGGGTGTGAGGAGCTGAGCAGTGGGGGTCCCTGGGCAGAGCACATGGCCCTCCTAGGAATCCGGGTCCCCAGCCCTTTCTGGAGATGCTAGCGCTGGCCCTAGCCTAGCTTCTCTCTCGACCATGCCAGGAGGGCCAGGTCTGGATTTCCCTCTTTGACTCAGAGGCTTGAAAGATTGAGAGCGAATGCTTGTGTGTGCACCAGAGGGCCGGTGACCTCTTCCCCTAAAGCTCTGTAACCACAGACTTTCCTTCCCTTTTCTGACTGGGTGGAGTGAGCCAGGTGCTAGGAGCTAGGCAGAGAGGGTGCCTCGGTCTGTCCGAGGGTTTGGTAGAGGGTGTCTGTGAGAATTGGGCCCCTGGACATGCTGGTGTATGGCTGTGGCATGGCTTTGTGTGTCCCTAGTGCAGCCTCCATGACTCCTGTGAGGGGGTGAGCAGGTATATGAGTGTGTGTGCTAGTGCCTTTGTGTGTGTCTAGTGTGTATGTGGGTGTCTGGGTGTGTGTACGTGTCCAATCCTGATGCCCCCAGCAGAAGGCGAGGTGGGTGTGGGCACAATTACTTACTGGGTGACTAAGGAAGCTTCTGCTCAGGATTTGAGACCTGAAAAGAGGGCAGGGGAGGAGGCCTGCTGGTTTGTACTAACAGAAAGAAGGAAAGGGGAGGAAGGGAGAGGAGGGAGGGAGGAAAGGAGGAAGGAAGGAAGGAAACACATCCATAAAGTGATTTGGGTGGGCGACCAGAGAGGCGGGATTGCAGCCAGGATGTAGAGGAAGAGCAGCGTGGGTTAACTGTGGGTGCTAAAAGTTCGTGGTGCCTGGGGCATGGGCTGTCAGATCGTATGTGTAGGGTGCAGGGGTGGAAAAGAGGTTTATAGAGTTACTGGAGGGGCCTGGGGAAAGTGTGACCCAGCCAAACTGAGCTCTGCTGAAGACATCCATGCTGCATATGTGTGGTGAACTCTGCCCCCCACCCTTCTCCACCTGGCCTCAGAGGGGTAGCCACATCAGTGACCCCCATGCAGGTCAGACCCCCCACTTCCAGCCCAGTAGGATGCTGGTCACCTCATCTGCCTGCCACCTCCACTCCATGCTTCAGTTTTTCTCCTCTCTGGCTCTCTTAAGTTAATTTTTATTATTCAAGTAAGACGCCTCTGGTATAGAAAAATTATAAGCAGAAAACAAACGCTTGGTTTGACACCCCCCTTCCCTCAGCCCTCCAGGTTCTGCTTTCCACACACACACGGCCCGGCTTTCTGTGCAGAGAAAAGTAGAACAACACCTGCTGAACCCTGCCGGGCTTTATTTATATTCACTGTTTTTAATTTTTCATTTCACAAATGGCATCTTTCCGTGCCAGTAACTCAGATCTCCATCCTGGCGTCCTCTTGTGGGGCCCAGGGATGGGCTTCGGGCCTGCGCGCACACTCGTGGGTAAGCCGGGTCGCTCTCCCGGAAAAGGCCGGTGGCCTCCCGCAGAGTCCCCCAGAGCCAGGACCCGGACGGTTCGGGCCGCTCCTCCTCCGCTGGCTGCCGGGGAGCTCCGCAGGCAGCACCGCGCGGCTCCAGGCTAGCCGTGCTGACAGTTGGGAGTTCCCAGTCTTCCCCGCTCTCCCGCGCCCTTCGTTCTTCCTCTCTCACGCTGTCTCTTCGCGGTGTGGGATTCGGCTCTCTCTTCTCTGCAGGCTGGGCAGCGAGGCCCCATGCCCGGCGCGGGTGCGCGTGAGGATCGGGTGAGAACGTCAGGGCGGCCAGTGTGTGTATGGGGGTGGGTGGGGAGACGGATTGTGGAGTTCCCAGTCTTCCCCGCTCTCCCGCGCCCTTCGTTCTTCCTCTCTCACGCTGTCTCTTTGCGGTGTGGGATTCGGCTCTCTCTTCTCTGCAGGCTGGGCAGCGAGGCCCCATGCCCGGCGCGTGTGCGCGTGAGGATCGGGTGAGAACGTCAGGGCGGCCAGTGTGTGTATGGGGGTGGGTGGGGAGACGGATTGGATTGGGTCTCCTCCCCAAGCCCCCGCCCTGATCCAGCCGAGACCCCTTCCAGGCCGAGCTGGGGATCTAGGCAGCAGCTTGAACCCAGGCCTTGAAGTCCCAGTCCGCCTCGGGCTCCCCAGTGCTTCCAGTTCCCTGCTCAGGAGGCGGGTCGTGTAGCGGGGCCACCGGGCTCCCACTGGCGTCTTTCCGTTCCGGGAGATCGCGTTGTGCCTGCACTACCTGCCGCCGGTCTTGGGTGGGGAAGGCTGAGCGCACGGTGCTGGGGTGCTGCCACGTGGCCAGGGTGTGGGGGTGTGCTCCTCAGTGTGTGGGTGTGGAGGGGGAGCGGGGCGGGCTCACGCTGGGCACTGTCTGGCTTTGCGGGATTCTGCGCACAGAAAGAGGGACGCAGAGCTGGAGGCTAGAGCCCGCCTGGCGCGAATTCACCGAGGTCGGGGATTCCTCTCCGCGGCTAGGACCAGAGGCCAGTGTCCTACGCTGCTGCTCTGGCCTTCACCGCCGTTCTCCACCTGAGGCGTCACTGTCATCCCAACCCAGCCAAGACTGCAGGGACCCAGAGAATTGCCTCCGTTTTCCTACCTCCTCACCCTTTTTGTAAAGCTATTGAAGAACGTGAACTTGGGGGCCGTGGGACCAGCCGGTAGGGGGCAGGGCAAGGTCCTAAAATACTTTCTCCGTGGCTCTGGCCCTGCCGGGGCTCCATTGTAGACAAATCGCAGGTGCTGGCCTGGCCATTGCTGGGTCCTGCAGGACCGCCGTAGCCCGAGGCCCAGCTGGATCCCGTTATCGGTCTCCCTCCTGGCCTCACAGGGTCTGGGGAACTAATGGGCTTGGGCTTGGGCCTTGCAGGACGAGCAGGTTCTGGGCACACCGACTGCGTCCTGGGCTGGAGGCGGGTGACAACGCCACAAGGTGTTCTCCATTCACGGGTTGTGCAGGTCCTCCGCTCTCAGTGGGAGGAATGGGAAGAGGGTCGGCAGGGAGGGGCGCTCCCGCTCCCAGCTCCCCTCAGAGACCCCTTCGAAGTGGGTTTCCCGGGGTTTTTCCAAGGATCGGCCTGAGTTGGGGAAAGAGGCTGCCCTCTCTGGCTCACCTTGCTCAGCGCCACCCGGCACCCTCCAATTCCTGCCATTTTAGGGGGTGTGGGCTTGTTTTGGTCTCGAGGTACACTCCAGTCCCACCACACCCACCTTATCTTCACCTTTTGGCAGCTCAGCGGTTGGGACTGACTTCCTGAGCCTCCCTGGCGCTGAGAGCTGGGTCCCGGCTGCCTGCAGATAAATGGTATCCCCTTCCCACCACCAGCAGCCCACCCTCTAGGGTCGGAAGTGCAAGGCCTGTCCTGGGTGTTAGGGGAGCAAAGGTCTTTACGTGGGTGGGTGGAAGTCATAGTTCGGGTCTCCCCAGGCATTACCAGTACCTCTTTGTGGAGGCCACCGGTTCTTGGCTGCCAGCGCTCCTGCAGCTGCAGCAGGAGCCTTCAGCAGCCCAGTCAGGCACTCAGAACCTGTGTCTGTCTCTTCTTTCCTCTTCTGTGTCCTCAGGATGCTCTGGCAGACACATCGGGCAGGATCCCCAGGTCTAGACCCTGGACAAGCTCAGCCAGGCTCCTTCTGGTGCTTCTTGCCTCTCGCTGAGGCTGGGGCCAGGCCTCTCCCAGAACTTTGTGAGGTATAAGTTGAGATTGCAACTGCCTCAGGGGCTTTCCCTGGCTCCAGCTTCCT